TTACTGTCTTTGTAGGAACAGGTTATAGATTGCTTCCGAAATTTCATGTTCAGTGTTCTGGGGGTGAACATAAAATACAGATATTTAGCTTTTGCTAGGCAGAACCAACAAACTCCAAACAAAATTAAAATAATATTATGATTGATTTTGGAGTTATAATAATAAGAGGAAAGATCCCTTTTACAGGACAGGCTAAGGCACAGAGTGATTTTCTTAGAGCCATAAAGTAATCATGAGGCTAAAAGAGGAGGTCAGTTCAGACATATGAATTGCAGCCCAGAGCATAACTTCAGATAATGATTCATCAGCTGTTATTTGTTTTAAAGTAACTTGCTATTTTGAGTCTATCTAAAGATAAAAGAGATACTTTTCTAAGCAATATTTACTTTGAGAGGTCTGTAATATTCTGACACCAAAAAAAAAAACCACAACAGAAACTGAATTTTTAATTTTAAAACTGTGAAAGTTACAATAAAAAAGATGAGCTATGATTCAAGGACTCATCAGTATTTGAACACACTAATTTTAAGGCAGGAACAGCTGATACTGTAGTGGAGGCCAGTACAGTTTCTTCATAATCAGACAGTGCTAGCAGTAGCACTTTTTCTATAAAACAAGCAATTAATTTGTAAGATCAGTGTGTTGGGTTTACTTCTTATTACCCTACTCTGATTTGATTGGTAATAAATTAAACTAATTTCCCAAGTCAAGTCTGTTTTGCCCCAGATGGTAATTGCTGAGTGGTCTCCCCCTGTCCTTATTTTGACTCACGAGTCTTTCTTTTACTGTATTTTCTCTCCCCTGTTCAAGTGAGGTGGGGAGTGATGAATTGGCTTTGGTGGGTACCTGGTGTCCAGTCAGGGTAAACCCATCACAGATCAGGCCCACAGTTTTCAAATGGTCCAAAAACTCAAAAATGGACAACTCTGGAAAACATGCATCTGCAGCACTCTGAAACTGTGCTTCGTCAAGTTCTACCTGCAAAGCAGTTTCTTTTACAAATCATATAAAAATACGCTGATAGTAATCAAAGTGGATGGAAAATAGCTCCCCAAAAGAGTGAGGAACAACAGCAGAGCAGAGCTGAAACAAAGACAACTTTCCACACCTATTACAACTCCAAAGCTAAGGTTCAGCTGAGGTTGAATCTCAAAAATGAATATTTATTCTTTGAAGGAGGAGGCTATTTATTTTGAGAAATATGACTACACTGAGATAAGTGCCAGGAAATTAAAACAGCTTCAGTAACATCTGTGCTTCCCCACTTTGGTGCCCTGTGACTCAAATAAACACTGGACACATGAAAAGAAAACCTATATATCCATGAATCTTTTTCATCTAAATACTAGTCCACAAACCTGGTAGATATCATAACAATATAACAATCACAGCCACTGAACTACAGAAGGCAAGATGCACACTGATGTTTCCAAGAGACCTTCAAATTATGCAAAACGAAAAGCCTGCATTGTTAAACAACTGAAGTGCTCTTGGTGACTACAGGGCCGTGTAACAAGCCTCTCAAAATCCTCAGGGGGATTTTCTTGTGGTATTTCACGTTCCTCCTTCAAGGGCATTACAAAACCTCACAGTTTCAGTTGTAACTAAATAAGTTACAATTAAGACTTCTAAAATATATGTTTAAATTATGTTTTCTGTTTCCAGATAAGAAAGGGAATACTGACTGTAACAAAAGACTGCAGGGCCCGAGTAGATAAAAGTAACCAGAGGACAAATGATTCTATGTAATTAAATTAGAATAAAACTGGTACCTTGATACTACTCACATTCACCTTCCTCTGCACTATGTTTTGTCAATGAAGCCCATGAAGAGTTGGGATTATTGACCGTGCAAGTTCAAGTCTACCAAGTCCTAGGAATTCTCAGATGCAGCTTTTTTTTTTTTTAAAGAAACAACTTTGATTAGGATTTAAAGAAACCTTAGCTCCACTTAACACAGTGGAACTGCAATTTTATTCCATTTCACGTTACATTATGTTTCCTGGATGATAAAGTAGGTTTGTTGATATCAATCTCCCTAACAGGGTTGCCCAATAAAACTCAAAAGATACTAAGTGGAAGATATTAAATCATCCTGTGAAGAAGTGAGACTATTTGTAAAGCCTTGAAAGTGTGACAGGACCACACACAGCACAGAAAACAAAAATTTCTATGGGAACAATTCTATTAGCCCCTAACTATTGCAAAAAAAAAAAAAAAATAAAATACAGTTTCGAAATCCTCAGCTTAATCTTTTTTTAACAGTTTTTTAAACTTTTAACCTGCTATTTTTGCTTTCTCAAACATAATTTTTTTGCTCAACTGCAATGCGTCCTACTTTTTGTTCCCTTTTTGCAATAAAGAAAATTGATACCCTCCTGCCATCTAGTGGCCACAGAAACCCGGCACCAAACACCGCTGGCAGATGTTAATCCAAAACTTTTTCCAGCTCTTTTCCCCACCAAAGAGTTTTCCCTCTCCGACATTAATTAAGTATTAATACTTTTTCAAAGAGAAGGGAATACACAGGAGATAATTCCCCTAAACTGTTAAATAGCCAGAAGAACCTGGCATGTTCTGAGCCTTATGGCCTCTGTGGTAAGGGAGGCTCACAGACTTCTCAGGAAGATGTGCTGTAGTGAGTAAAATTTTAATTCAGTTCTGTTTACTGCTCCTGCAAGACAGATCTCCACTCACGGCCAAAGAGTGGCAAATTGAAGCCGTGAAGCTACTGGAAACAGCTGGTCTGTCTGCACAGCTTTGAATTCAGTTTCTCACCACTCTGTTCTCTCAAATTAAAATTGATGAGCTTATTTAACAACACGAGCTACGTGTTTTCTTATAGGACCTATATATTTTAAGCAATACAAATCTAATGCCATGCAGAATTTCACTGAAAGTACTGAACA